ATCAAATTTTCTGTTTTTTTTTTTAAATTTTATGGTACAATTAGCAGACGGGAGGTGAAAGGGGGCAAAACAAGGCAGCGGGGGAGGCAAAATGGGGTACCCAAAAAATTAGCATATTAAAAGTTTTCCGAATTTGTACCTTTCTTTTCCTGGCTCTACAGGCTCAGAATAATTATTTTCGATTAAAAGCGTGAACTTGTGAGTAAATATATTTTCAAATAATTTAGAAACCGAAAAAAACTATCTAAAAAAAATTAGTTTACGCAATTTTTTGGGTACCCCATTTTGCCCCCCGCTGCCTTGTTTTGGCCCCTTTCACCTCACGTCTGCCAATTGTACCATAAAATTAAAAACCCAGAAAATTTTATGTTAATCAAACTTTGACCTAGAATAACTGAATAATCATTGCCTTAAGTTACTTTGTTACAGAGGTATAAAATTCCAAACATAAAATTATTTTTTCCCATGTTAATTAAATGGGAAACTAAAATAAAAACAGCGTCCTCTTAGAGTTGAGCTGGAACGCCCATATTTGGTGAGGATTTTTTTTATATTAAATAGAAACATTTGAGAGGGTAAGAGCGAAAAAAAAATTAAATATTTTTTTTGAAGCACCCTAGTACATATATATATGTATATATATTAGGGTGGTCGTTAAAAATTAAATTTCTTGCGACGCCCCCTAAAAAGCTTCTTTTTGATGAAAAAACACTGGATTTTTTTTTTAACAACAAGTGCCTCAAGACGATCTAAGTTAATTTTTTAATCATGTTTTTTTTGGGAATTTTTTATAAAAAATAAAATTTTATTTGAAATATAAACAATAGACAAAAATTTAAATTCAAAATTTTTCCCAGTTGATTAGTTCTATTAAATAAAAAAATTAAAGATATTCAAATTGATATTTTTTTTAAACTAAATTAGTACAAACGTAATTTTAATATCTAGATTTCTTCACTTCAAGGTGAAGTTATTTCAAGGTTAATATTTTTTAAATCTCAAAAAAAAAATTATTCCATATTTTCAGAAAAGACATGATTTTACCAAAAAATTAACTTAGATCGTCTTAAGGCAGGTGTTGTTTTTAATAAAAAAAAAATTCCCAGTGTTTTTTCATCAAAACGAAGCTTTTTGGGGGGCATCGCAAAAAAATTAATTTTTAAGGACCACCCTAATACACATACAGTGTGTCCGTAAAGTCCCGGAACATGAGATTATTTTGAAAACGGTAATTTAAAAAAAAAAAACGCTGAAACATGTCAAGTTTGTTATTTTTCTAGCAATATTTTAGCCCATGTAGTTGTTCCAAAATCTGAAGCGTGGCGGCGCCCCAATCGAAGTAAGGTTTTTTTTTAAATCACAACCCTTTATTGTTGTTGCACTTTTGGATAGCTACCGTTGTCCTGAGTACATTAATATGCTACATGTGGAGGATTACATAAGAAAATTTTTGAGAAAAGTAGGTTTTTACCGCCGATTGAGATTTTAGTATTTTGACGAACTTATTCGCTGTGACGGGGCACCACCACACTATGCATTGCTAGTAAGAGATTATTTAAATCAGATCTCCCCCAATCGCTGGATAGGTCAAAGGGGTCAAATCGTGTGGCCAGCGCGATCGCCCGATTTAACCCCTTTAGACTTCTTTTTATGGGGACATCTTAAAACCGCGTCTATGTAAACAGGCCTCAAAATTTGGACGACCTAAAACACCGCATTTAAGCCGAGATCCAGATGATCACTCCAATGGTACTGGCAAACGCACAACGCTCGTTTATGGACAGGCTGGCCCACTTCCAAATAGTTTACGGTGGACACTTTGAGCAACTGCTCTGATTGGCTTCCCAAAAAACATTAAGGAACAGTTTGACAAAATACCAAAATATCATTCGGCGGCAAAAACCTGCTTTTCTAAAAAATCTCCAGATGTGGCACATCAATGTAATCAAGACAACGGTAGCTATCCAAAAATGCAACACAAATAAAGGGTTGTAATTTAAAAAAAACTGTATATATATTAGGGTGGTCCTTAATAAGGTTATTTTCAAATTTCTTTGCTCCCAGGGGCTCAAATGCTTCCAAAATAATAAAAAAAATTACCCTGAAAATTTGAGCTCTTAATATTAACTCTAAGATAGTGCGCATTCCAATCTAAGTTTCCTATGGAAATAACATAGGAAAAATTACTTTTGTTGTTTATAATTTTATAACTTGGGAACGAATGAATTAAAAATTATAAATCATACATATTTTTATAGAGAATTTAACGCTCTACAAAAAAGGTCTCTTATAATTTTTCCATTAGTCTATTTGTTTAAAAGTTATTCAACGTCAAAGTTTAATTTTCATATTTATATTAATATTATCAAGGCTTTTTTATGAGGCGCCGTTTGTGTCAAAATTAAAAGTGCTAAATAAACTTATTTTGTTTTATAAATAATTAATTATATGCTTTACCAAATAATTTTTTTACAAAATTATTTTTTTATAATTTTTTTTGTAAAAAATTTTATAAAATAATTTTTTTATAAATTTTTTTTTGTAAAAAATGTTATAAAATAATTTTTTTATAAAATAATATTTTTTAAATAATTTTTTTATAAAATAATTCTTTTTTATAAAATTATTTTTTTATAAAATAATTTTCTGCGAATCAAAAATTATTTTATAAAAGACGACGGGCGCATTTATAAATTAATTTTTATTGCAGCCATCTCTATTTGTTTGTAGACACTCGAGTAAACCCGAGTAAACCCGAACGCCCCTCCTCAGATACAATTTTATGACGGACTGGGCTTTTGTTTGACGCAATTTGGGGAAACGATTGAAAATAATAATTTATTATTTTTATTCATTAATTCATTAATTTTTTTATCTACATTTATTTTGATTTTTAGTTTTTAACAAGAATTCTTTATGTTTAAACGTTTTTTATAAGAAAGCACTTGTTAAAAACTAAAATAAATAAATAAAATAATTCTCTTGAAAACAAATTAAAATAAATAAATCAATTCTCTTAAAACAAAACTAAAAATCAAAAAAAAAATAATTTTATAAAAAAGAATTATTTTATAAAAAAATAATTTTTAAAAAAAAGTTTACTCGGGTTTACTCGGATGTCTACAAACAAATAGAGATGGCTGCAGTAAAAATTAATTTATAAATGCGCCCGTCGTCTTTTATAAAATAATTTTTGATTCGCAGAAAATTATTTTATAAAAAAATAATTTTATAAAAAAGAATTATAAGAGACCTTTTTTGTAGAGCGTTAAATTCTCTATAAATTCTCTTAAATATGTATGATTTATAATTTTTAATTTATTCGTTCCCAAGTTATAAAATTATAAACAACAAAAGTAATTTTTCCTATGTTATTTCCATAGGAAACTTAGATTGGAATGCACACTATCTTAGAGTTAATATTAAGAGCTCAAATTTTCAGGGTAATTTTTTTTATTATTTTGGAAGCATTTGAGCCCCTGGGAGCAAAGAAATTTGAAAATAACCTTATTAAGGACCACCCTAATATATATATATATATATATATATATATATATATATATATATATATATATATAATTGTTGTAATTTCAATTTTGTTATTAATTAAAATTACTTACCGATCACTAATTTGTAAATCTCACAAATGTCACAATAAATTCAGGAGAGGTGTCAAAATACCTAAGCGTGCAAACATTTATATCAATCGTTGTTTATAACATATTTGTGAGTAAGGCATAGCGGAATAAGACATTTTTTTTTAGTAGAGCCACAGATTAATCTCATTCTCACAAAAGAAATTTATATTTTCTAAATTAAGCCTGATTTACATTATCTGCCATTTTTTTTTCATTTGATGCACCCAAAAAACGATTTTGTTATTGATTTTCTTCTTGATCAAGTAAAATAGCTATTATTACCAAATCTCTATTAATATTTCAAAAAATTCTAGTATTACAATGGTATGTATTAAAAACTGTCGTGTCGTTGAATGCCTGATTATGTGAATCATGATTTAATGCAAATAAGGTGTAAGACTACTGAAAAATTGATGTTTTTATATTATCTATCCCTTTATGCCTTTTATCAACAGATATAATTTTATTAATGTTTCTTTTAGACTTGAATAATTATAATGTAATGAACTTTTTCAAAGAGCTCAAACTTTCTTCCATTCGACATAGATATATAGATAAAAATGCCCAATATCTGTAAAAACGTTTTTGTGTGAAAATTAATGACCTCTTTATACTATGTTAAAATAAATAAGTACAGTGGTGGACACGGAATTTCGATCATCATAATTTGGTTGTCCTAGCAAAGATACAATAATATCCATTTTTGCTTTCGCTGTCAAAATGACAAGAATAGTGATAACCGGTAGTAAAGTTTTTTAAAGGAACTTTGGATTTTTATGTCAACCGGATGGTAGTCGTTTGAAATTCCATGCCCTCCATTGTACACAATTGCATTTTTTTATAAATAATTATATTTACAATAAAGCTCTGAAAAATCTATGGACATTGGACAGCAAACACAAATGTTTGGAATATATTTTATGAAACACAATTTATTTTTAAATAAAATTTACTAAAAATATTGTTAAGTTAATTAAATAAAACTGAATTAAATTTAGGTATCTAAAACATGTTCAAACAAAAAGTTAATTCAAATAATAAATTGTACAAATAAATTTTAAACGAAATACATATATTTTATAATAAAATTTAATACCGCAATTATATCTAAATTAAATGCAGAATAATTTAGTTTTGCAAAAAAGCGCAGAACTGCATAAACAATTGCGTAAAACATCATGCAAATAAAATTTAAACTCGTTAAAATTTAAACAAACACAACCAAATTCAAAATTATTTGTCTGATTATTTTGTTATTTATGGGAAATTTAAAACAAAATTGAAATGTATCGAGGTGAAATGATTTTAGTTTCACACTGCATTAAATATTAAAAGCTTCAATTTGATTGTTATTTAACGAACCTGTAGGTATGAAGTTGACTGAAAATAAACAAAATATTATGAGCAAATTTATGGACACGAAAACGTTTTCAATGATAATTATCATTGAAAACGTTATAATTATTAGAGACAGGATTCTAGGCAAAATGCTTTGTATTAATTTTGATAGTCCGTTAACAATTCTTAGTGCAAATGTAATTTTTTACTTTTAGCAAAAACAAAATAAAATGCCTAAACCCAAAGATAATACATTATTATTATTATTATTATCTTTGCCTAAACCTGCCAAAAATAGGAAACATAATGTTTTTTAGTACTTTTATTTTTTTATTGACCGTTTTTTTAATAGACAAAATAGTTATTTATTTCCTAATTAAAAACTAGATACAAGCACCTAAAAAACATTTTTGAAAAAATCTCAGCAGTTTGGTTTTTCAATAAAACTTTTAATAATAAATATTTTTGATATTAAATCGTGAAACAAAATTTTTAAATAAAGCTAATTTTAAATTTAAAAACATGATAATATATTATGATTATATTATAAATATTTATTTATAATTATAATCATAAAAATTGCTGTTTTACTTAAACCTCAATTTTCACTTTGGATTAATTACAGTAAATTAACTGTCATAAATGGAGACGAGGTTTGAATTTTTCGTTTACGTCAATAGTATTGACTCAATACCTAATTATGTTTAAAATAAAAATAAAATGAATTAATGTTTAAATATATTATTGTATTAAGAAGTAGGTAAAGTAAGCGCGTAAAAATCCTCCCTTTTATTTTTTAAACCGTTGAATTTCAAAATTGTAAATTTGAGTTTGTTATACAGGGTGCGGCAAAAGGTTGCCCCATTTTTAAAGGGTCATTGCTTGACTCGTGGAGGGGGGATAGAGCAGTGCGCGTGGTATTTGGGATGTCAATAAAAATCAAACTAAGAAAAAGCTTTCTATTTTTTAAAGGTGAATGTTTTTTAAATAAAATGTCCAAAGTTGTCTCTTTACGAGGTGATATTGGGTGGCCTCTGCGTTCGCCTGATTTGAACCCTTACGATTTTTTTGTGGGGGTATCTAAAATCACAAGTTTTTAAACATCGTCCACAAAATTTGGAAAATCTAAAGGCAGCAATAAGGCAAGAAAACAACGCATTTCAGCAAGACATGGCGCGCAGAGCAATGACGAGCTGTCGTAATAGGCTTGAAATGTGCATTGACAATAACGGCGGTCATTTAAAAGACATTATTTTTAAAACAAGAAATGTATGAAATAATATTTTTCCTAAAAATAAAAAGATTTTTTCTTGGTTTGATTTTTATTGACATCCCAAATATTTCTGACAGATTCATTATGACGACTGCTCTATCCCCCCCACGAGCCAAACAATGACCCTTTGAAAATGGGGCAATCTTTTTTTCGCACCCTGTACAGGACATTAAATACCACTTTTTGTAGGGTTACCAGATTCTGTCAAAAAAAAATCGGGACACTTTGTGTGAATTAACCTTAATTACCAAAATGACAAAAGTAACGTCAAACTTACAATAATTGTAAATTGTTTACATTGTATCATTATGTCAATTTTGTAATTAAGATAAATTTATACAAAATGTCCCGACTTTTTTTTACAGAATCTGGTAAAAGTCTTTTTGACTTGTTTACAGTTTTTGTAGTGTACATTAAGTGTCATAAATAATGTATTATAGGAACCCACTTTTGAATATACGAGATTTTTATAAAACTTTTTTACTTAAAGAAGTAGTTTTATGTCTTATAAACTGCGCACCACTCAATGTGTCGCGACCAAAAAATTCGTCCTATTTAAAAACGACATAAGCTTTTTGTTTCTTGAACGATTTTATTTTGGTTTATGATGTCTGCTAGCCCCATTCTCTGGCAATTATTGCTATAGATATAAAGCTCACGGTTCTTCATGAAAATTTCCCACAGGGTGATATGTAAAACGGTGAAAAATTTCAATAACTTCATCCAAGGCCCGTTTGCAAAAAAAATAGTTTTTTCTCATTTTTACTTTGAAATAATGAAGTATTATGTCGTACCTTGAAACGTTTTTAAAATTTTTCGAATTGGAATCTTAGCAACAAAAATATGACTTTTGATTCTTTTTTGAAGGCAATACACTCAGCCTTTTAAAAACAAAAAAGATAAGATGGTGAAAGATTGTTCCTTGAAAAATTCTGAACAAGCGACAAGCAACACACTTCCATTATTTTCAGAGACCACTTTTTCAAAATGACATTTTGGTGAAAATTTGCGAAAACTAAACTTGAACCTATATTTATGTTCGTGACATGTTTTCTTTATAATTTTGACCTCCTGTGATTCAGTTGTCAAATTTAAGTTTCAGATAAAACCAAAATCACCAAGAATCAAAATTCGAAAACAATTCCTGGCTGTTAAATGTCTCAATAATATGCCTGTGTCAATGCCATTTGGAGATTCATTTTTTGGGTGAAATTACTGCAATGTGTTTGAGTGGATAATACATACATTACTTTAGGTACATTGCGCACTAGTGATAACTTATTACTGATAAGTACCTACCTAATTGATAATAAAGTAAATAATCATAATCAAAACTACAACATTCAACAAAAAACTGTAACAAACAATAACAATAATAACCTATTTATTAACAATATTTCCTTGGGTTAGGACCTGTAATAATTCGTTAACCCTCCTGGGCATTTCCTAGACCAAGTTCTTTAGAAATTCCTCGGGTATGGCTTCCCATTCTTCCTGAATCGAATTTACCAATTCATCCAAACTTTCCATGCGTCCTTTTCTCTCTTTCATCTTCAGATTCATCCTGCTCCACACATGCTCAATTGTATTCATATCCGGAGACAAAGGTGGCCAATTCATTCTCTCAATATCGTGGTCCCTTAAATACTCATTTACGATATTGGCGCAATGCCGACAGGCATTGTCGTCCACCAACACCAAATTATTGGCAACATTTTGAGAATAAAGAACCACGATATCACTTACACACAAATCTCTATATCTCTCAGCATTCATTACCAATTCACTCTTTCCATTCATCGCCATTTCACCCCAAACAGTCACTCCTCCACCTCAAAAGCCACCCTTGCCTCCCGTTTCGTTAAGCAAATGTTCACCAAAATGTCATTTTGAAAAAGTGGTATTTGCTTAGGTTACTCTGAAAATAATGGAAGTTTGTTGCTTGTCGCTTGTTCAGAATTATTTAAGGAACAATCTTTCACCATCTTATCTTTTTGTTCTTAAAAAGGCTGAGTGTATTGCCTACAGAAAAGCATCAAATCGATTCCAATTCGAAAAATTTGAAAAACATTTCAAGGTAAGACAAAATACTTCATTATTTCAAAGTAAAAACGAAAAAAAAATATTTTTTTTACAAACGGATCTTGGATGAAGTTATTGAAATTTTTCACCGTTTTACATATCACCCTGTAGGAAATTTACTTGAAGAACCGTGAGCTTTATATATATAGCATGAATTGCCAAAGAATGGGGCTAGCAGACATCACAAACCAAAATAAAATCGTTTAAGAAACAAAAAAGTTATGTGGTTTTGAAATAGGACGAAATTTTTGGTCGCGACACATTGAGTGGTGCGCAGTTTATATAAAATTTCCAATTTTTAAATCCAGCTGTTTAACAAAACAAAGGGGGTAATTTTTACGCGCTCATTGCATGGTCTTGTGAAAAATATAACAAAAAACATAAAACGCCAAATTCCTTTAGGAAACATACCGTCAATTCGATATTTTTTGCAAGAGTAGACTCGGCAATGTTGGCGAATGGTTTGTCCGCCCCCCAGCATTCCACGTACTTGGTCATCTTGCTGGAGGGTCGGGAGCGGGTCGGAGGGCCGCCAGGCGTCGCCGAATTCATTCCCGACGCGTCGTTCATGCTGCAGCGGCGATCCGATTCCGAAGATAAACCTGCCGTGACGTTTCCGTTCTGCACCTCGCCATCTGACGCCTTCTGAAAAGAAGAATAAAAGTGTACTTTGACGTTGAAGTCAGAGAAGATTAGGTATCGGTTTTTAACAATATTTATTGCTCAGTGGTGGACAAGGAATTTCCAAAAATATTTGGTCCTCCTTGTGTGGTTCTGTAAATAACAAAAATACAATACAAATTACAAGTATAGTAATAACGGGAAGTAAGGTTAATTGTCCATAAAGGCAGATTTTGTTGTCAACAAAATGATAAGTCGTTCGAATTGTAGTACTCGTCATAACTTTGCCGCCATTTTTGTAGAAGGTATGACTTCATCGGCCGTTTTTTTAAATTGTACCCCCTCTTTTTTGCAGATTTAAATAGTTTATGAAATGTAATACTTTTGGGATGATAGTTTTGGGTATTATTAAAAAATATTTTTTGTCTAATAATTTAAAATTTATAGCCAAATATGAATTTTTTAATACAGGATCTGATTGATTTTTTTGAGAGGTAATTACGTCATTTTGAGGTCTCAGGAATCACCTCCCGCGGGCCGATGTTGTGGGCATTTTTTTCTAATTTCCTGACCATTAAAGCAGTGTGTATGAATTAAAATTTCAACCTAAACAAATAAAAATTGTTAAAATGACACTTAAATCAACCGCTCGTGTCAACATTGATAGTTACGGTTATTTCTGCTCTTGGCGGGTGTATTATAATAGTATACTCCCTAAAAACAACTGTAAAAAACAATAATTAATAAATGTTTAATCATCTAATATTTTTTTTAAATCATGTTATTTTTTACATTTTTTTTAGTTGTGAATCGCAGGATTATTTTGCATATTTTTTTAAACATTTTGTTTATCAGTGTTATTGGTCATATAAATATTTATTTTAATTTATTAGTTTACAAAATTTATTTACAGACTCGTATAAAGGAAATAAGTAAGAATGACCGTAAATATTTTTAAAACGCGTGGTTGTACCATTTAATGGCGTTAAAATTTTTACCCAATAAAGTAGATATTGTGAAATTCATTAAAATCAGACAAAAACTGTTTGGTTAAACACGCGAAATTTAACCCCCAATCTCCATTATTCAGTTAGCGCTCGCCTAAATAAGGAATTTATCATGATTAACGTAACTTTTGGTTTTATAAATCATTAAATACAAATTAATAGATACAAAAAATACCGTAATATGGTTTTGTAGAGAATGAAATTCCCTACAAAGATGACCTTTAATCTACACTGAAAGAAATTTGTTGCTAAAAGTAAATACTTTATACTAAAAATTTTATACTAGTGCTTTACACATTTATACTACTGTTTATTATGAATGTATGTTAAATTTTGTAATACATTTATTGTAAAGAAGATATGTTAGATCTAAATAAAAATAAACTTACCCTTACTATAAAATGTAAACTATAAGTGAATTACAGCAAAAAAATATTGCTAGAAACATATTTATATTGCTAGGGCAGCAATAGGCTGCTAAACAAACGAATATATTTGTTTTAGCAATGTATGTGGTAGTCCATATATGAAACATAAAATATATTTGCCCTAATTATTTTTTTATTTAACTTTAGTATATATTTCTTTCAGTGTAATTTAAAAAAACCCCCACGTTTTTTATAAGCTAAAAAGAGATAATTTTTTTAAAAATTTATATTTATATTTATTGTTAAATTAAACAAATATAAAAAATTAGTTTATAAAAAAACTCATTGATTTAAATTTTTAAGGAAACTTTATGTTCGAAAGAAATAGTTTAACGTTTCAATTAAGTAAACTAACATTGAGCTATTACTATAAACTATTTTCGTAATGATATATTATATTATTATTATTATATATAATATGATCATATTGATATTTACAAGAAATTCTTAGTTTGCTGATATTCAATTATTTGAAATCTTTAAACTCAAATGCTGGAGGAAAGGGGCGCCAATTTCAAGTTCTTGCCCCGGTTTGAAAAAATCGTAGATCCAAGGCTGAGTACAACCAAAGATAATATTATCTTTGAATACAACTAGTAAAAAATGTTTACTGCTTTTTAAAATATCCAGATTGTGGTAAACAAAATTTATGTTTGTAATAAAAAATTGTATAAAAATGAAATACTGATATTTTAATCATAACATCATCCGTACAATCTTACGCATAAAGATCAAAAAATCAGATTGGCTGTGTCTGAAGGGTCGCGTTACGTCGTCCTGTCAGTGCACGTTCCTACTAAGTTAAGATTTGTTTAAAATGCCGAATTGTATAAAAAGTCACGAATTAGCTCGATCCACGGTATGTTACGCGTGTTTCAACAAGGCAGTTGATGGCCGACGTATAATTGGGAAAATAGAAAATCTGGTAAAATTACTTTCACCTAATTATGATCAAAACGACACAAGCATTTCAACAGTCCTCTGTAAAGGCTGTTACATCAAAATATACACAATAAGTCTCTAACAAAAATTCCAGATTACTCAAAAATGAAAATTCTTCCTACACGTGACACGGTTACATTTTGTGCGTGTAAAATATGTAAAGTTGCACGTTTCAGAACTATACCCAACGTCAATAATTTTTCATTTGATTATGAAAGAATATTGTGGGTAGACCTCCAAAAACCAGCTCAATGCAGGCAAGTACACTAAAAATATGCATCTCCTGTAATAGTGAAATCCATAAGGAAAAACGTCACGCATGTACAACAACTTCCAATTATTTCCACATTATTTTTATCGCAAAAAACTGTAGACAACAAGTTGCAAGCCAGATTTAATTAGAAGAAAAGAAAAATCAGGGTAATTCTCTTTTATTAAATAAAGGCAGGGGTAGGTATTTGGCTGTAGAAGTGATACCGAAAAGCGATTCCAAAAATTCGATAACTCCTTTGACTACAAATCATTTTAAATAAATGCAAGTTGGCTGCAATTTATCCACTAATACAGTAATAAAAATTAGTAAGTGCCTTCGTAATGTAAATAAAAACTTAGTAGAACCCAACATAATAAGTAACATAAAAACTGCATGCCATGCATTAAATAGCTATTTTACTATAGCTGAGTTGCCGAACATTGACTGTCCCAAAACTGCCGATATTCCGTTTTTGGTGTACTGCTCGGATATTTCTGGTCTCTTAGCACATATTTTAAATATACGAGATTTAAATGACTCCTCAGCTCATCCATGGTGTGAAATAAATGCAAAAGATTTAAAAGAGAAAGGACTTTCAAGAACAATAAGCTCTATAACCATGCAGTCAACAGCTTGGAAAGCTAATGGGAAAATGAAAATGAAAGCTAAATTTTACAGTTAGTTTCTTAATATTTTTTTTCTGTCAATTTCCCTATTAAATTTTATTACTAGCTACAACTATGTGAATACTTTTTAGAAAACTTTAATATTCCACTCATTATTGGTGCTGAAGAGACGCCAGTTTTACGATACCTCCCACCGCCAGAGCTACATTTATTACTGGGCATAGTACAGAAATAATAAATATTCTGATACCTACTTATCTACCTACATATGCGCCTGATCTACAACTTCATGTTTGTATTTCCATTTTTAATTTTAGGTAACAAGTACATAGCTTCATTAAAATCATTTAATGCAGTTGTAAGTAGCTGTTTCGGGCCGATACTCAGATCCGGTATATCTTTCACCCCAAAAATACATGCATTGGTACACCATGTACCAGAGCACATTGGAACTACTCAAAGATATCTCGGCTTTTATTTAGAGCAAGCCTCTGAACATGTTCATCACGCTTTCAAAGTTTTTTCAAAAAATTTGAATTTAAGTAATAAGTCAAAAAATTACAAAATTAACGTATTAAGATGTGTTTCAAAATTGTTTATTATTTATTTATAAACTATAGATCTGTTTTTTGTTGTAAAATTAAATTAAGTTCAACTGTTTTAAATATAAGCAAAAAATTAGTCACCGCATTTTATATTAACAACAGGAAAAATCGTTTTTAATGAAATTCTCGTCAGGACGTACGTAGATGATTTTAATTTTGATGAATATTGGTAGCCCATATCATAAGCTTTCAATACAGGTATGACTCAAAAAATGTATATTTTTTATTTTAAACTATCTGCAAATACTAACTGTGAACATAAGATGAGAAAATCTTTATATTTTTAATAATAAATAAAAGCTCCACTATGTTTAATATGCTTAATTTAAGTATGTTAACATAAAGGATAGTTTGCAAAAAGAGTTATATATATATATATATATATATATATATATATATATATATATTATATATATATATTTTGTTAGTATATTTGGTTATTATTCTTTTATTCTTCTTTAATAAAAAAAGTAAAAGTTGTGATTTCAGGATTTGTTTAAATCCATTTTACTCTACATCTATTATACATTTTGGCGCATATGCCCTTCTTCCTCCGAGGTTATCAATTGTTTTGGAAAAAATCAAATTTATAAAAGATAGGAAAAAAATAGATCATACAAATTATAGACGTTCTTATTCTCCACCTTGCCTTCCGACGCCTACGGACAAGGAGAAAGTGAGTTAACTTTGTTAACTTTGACGTGGACGTCCCACAAGATTATTTCTTGTAGAAGCTAATGTTATTTATTGAAGGTTTGATTAAAACAATAATGGACAAGTCAATCTATGTCTGGTCAATGTAATAAAAAAATATATAACTTTGTAAGTGGACATTGGATTTCTTAGCAATTATATATTGATACAGGGCCCTGTATTATTTAGTTACGAGTTTAATTAAGTTTTAGTTACGAGTTTACCCCTGCAGGGGTAATACATAATTATTAAAGTTTTTTTAATAGTATTCTCCTACATTGACGAGCTGTAAGGTTAAATTCGGGTGACAATTGACAGACGATAAATTTATAATAAATGAAATTGTTGTAGATAAAGTATAGTATATAACTCGTTTATAAACTTTTTGTTTGTGCTTAATTAAACTCGTAACCAAAATGGCGTTTATAAAACTTGATACATAATATACTATTAAGTAACCCTTTTTTAAA